TTATGAACTATAAAATGTTGACTGTTAATAAATTGATGGATGATATAGAATCTATGTTCGAAGTTAATTGATTGAAACCAAGACCATTGTCCCCAAGTACTGACATCATATTAGCTAGCACATATCTCTAAAGAAATCGCTTGACAAATAAATAAACTCCGTTAAATATGGTAAGCAAGGAACAAGGGACATATGTACATATTTTTTTCCTTACGAAAAACTGGCTAACGTTTATGCCTGGTAACTTCAACTCTTGATCCATCATTGGAAAATGTTTATAAAACGGAGTAGACGACATCAAAATACATATTGCTGTGAACAAAAAAAAATACTCCCAACAACACATGGGTATATTGAACGTCAACGCCATTTCTGATATCTGCTAGGTCACGTATAGCGAGCGAGCCAGCGAACGAGTGACGACAAAGATTGCCCGGCTAAAGGTAATGCTAATATTTTATGTTTTGCAAACGTTGCCGTAAAAAAGTAGTCGTTTTCCTTCTTTCTTTTTTGCCTTCTCATCTTTCTTGTGGATTTCTTTTTCATTGTGTGTTTTTCAAGTCAAAATTGTTTAGTTCTCATTAACCTGAATTGCCTGGATGGATGGAATATACGAATAAGAGAGATAAGGCAATGACAGTGATATGGCATTTTGATGCGGTTACCATTCTAATACCTACATACACACCGACCGACACAATGTTCCAAAACAAATATTTTCGAATATAAACAAAACTAAAATCTATACTCCCCATTCAAAAGTTTTTCATTGGTTGTTGTTTAAATATGTACCGTTGTTGGCCACTTTAAACCAAACGAAAAATTGAAATGTAGAAAGCTTAATTGTGTTTTGTTTACTATTTTCAAATTGTTTGTCGAGTGCAAAGATGATGACAAAATAGAAAACTAAAGAGGATTTTTTTTAAATTATGGCAATCATTGATTTATCTATTACCGGTATAACTTCGTGTTTTCTATAGATAGATAGTGTTTATTTTGAATGCTAGTTTAAAATAAAAATACTAAAAATAAACCATATTAATTAATTTCACATTTGAGTATTTTTGGCCCGTACCTAAATTCAGTACGTTCCTTCTTCTCACCTCTATAGGGTTTGTTGAACGTCCGTATTACCCAAATACGCAATGACCTTATTTACTTGTGTGTCAATTGAAAACGGCGAAAATGGATGAAAACATTTCCTTAATTAACCGAAAAATGTTTACATTTATAAGAAAGAACAAATTTTCAATGACTGGAATTCTATTTTCAAAAAACAATAAATTCAAAATACGCATTGTCAATGTTGAAAATTTTCAACTTTATATTTTTATACCCAATGCGTATTTGGGTAATATTCATTGAAATGCATTTAACTTTTGAGGTGAATAAAATAGTACGCATACGCATGGATTTAGGTACGACCCTTATAAGGAAAACTATGTATGGGTTTACACATGTCTGTTCTTGGTGTTTATAGTCAAATTATTTCATAGATTCCATAGCCTTCCATAACACAATATTAGCCCACCTTCTTTATCTCTATAAGTAAGCGTTAAAACCTTATCCCCATGGAACGCCACTTCCGGGCGAAAGACGCCACACGCCGCATGCAGTTGAGATAGGTTCCATTAAATTGTTTCTTCTTTCATTGAATTTCCAGTCGTATCTATATTGATTGTAATTTGGTGTTGTGTTTTTACAATCACACAACAACATTTCTAAATAAATATGTATTTATTCGTTCTTTTCAATCATTGACAATTCACTTGTATGTACATTTTACGCATTTGCAAAGTATGGTGACGATCTCAATAACACTTTGAATATGACAGTATACGGGTGTTCCGAAAAATGATGAAATATGTGTTAAAGTTGTAGTTGAAAATATTGGTACCAATTAAAAACTTAGCCGCAAGAATGTTTTTGGAATGAAATTGGAATTAAATATAAATGTTTATCCATTTAGTGATTTCAAAGCTGGATCTCGGTATCTGTCAAAATGAGTTATTAAACCATTTTTTCTTTTCAGTTGAAAATCTGACATTGACGAAAATGGATTTTACAATGCATAAAAATGAACAAAACTACAAAATTGTGATTCTGCCACAGCCACATATAATTTTTTAAAAGAATATTAAATCATAATCGTCCAAATGTGGGTATGTTAATCAAAATTGTCGTATTTGGATTTCAAGAAATTGAAGAGAGGCTATATTACATCCAGAAAAAAATGGTGCGCTCTTGGTCCGAAGGTGTGATTGCACTTTACTTCTTCGAAAAAGGCAATGGAACGACAGCCACCGAAAATTCGGATCATTATTGCCTATGATGCCGACTTTTTTGCCTGCTATTGAAGAATGCGACTTTCCTGGTCGCGTAACTATCATACTGTGCTAACGTGAATGCAACAGGCCGAAATGTACATAGAATTATCCTTAAATACCGCGTGTGTTGAATACTTTATGAAATATTGTGCTGCATAAGACAATTAAAAATCAGAGAATTGATATGAAATAGTAACAATATTTATTGGGCATATATTAAGTTCGTAATTTAAAATATCAAATTACAAAATTGTACATAGTCAAATATGTTGGAAATATCAGATGCAAGAAATATTTCAATGTTTCGGTTTCATTGTTACACTTGCATTTTTCAACCATTAGTGCAGAACAAAGCAAACGTTCTGTCACTGAATCACCACCGGCACATTCTAATACAGCTGTGTGTGTGCGTATTCAATTTATTGGCATAGAAATTGAATAATATTAAAAGACCGGATTTGGTATACATTAAGGTAATTCGTGATTTAAAATTAAGTATATATATAAAAAAATATATAAGCAGTCAAGTTTCGATGGAAAATAAACAAATGGACATTTTCCATACAACAACAGCATTTTAGCATTTAGTATTATTTTCTTCTATCTAATGAGTAACCCTGAACATTTCTTCTGGTCTTTAGAAATGTTATTGATAAGATACGTATTTTCTCTATTGAATATTTATAGATTATTTATATTAATCCACATAGACAGGAATTGTGACACCACAATATTAAGTTTTTTTAGAAATGTTTATAAATCAATGATAAAAATGTGAGTGTCATATTATAGAAATACTTTGAATCTTAGAAATAAACTATAAAATATCAATGTCAAAACAAAATTTCTGTAACATGTAGCAACAAGCAATAGTGGGATATAATTGATAAGATATAGCAAAATACGGAAAATTGACATTGACATTGGCTTTCTATTGTTGTGCAGAACCAGACAGATTCTCCTACAGCTTAAATATTCAATAATGATTCCTTTTTAACGATGTATCGGTAACAATGACGGTATTCAGAATAAGATCTATCGTTTATAGCGATCAATTCCATCGGCTCCTTGACCTTCGTTATAATCTAGTATGGACTCTCGTGGTAATCAGAGCCACTAGGGCTAGATAGGATACAAAATTACCCACGACGGAAACATTGTCATTATTATCGAAGCCCTGTAACGACTGAACATTCTCTGAACAGTGTCCTTATAATATTTGCAGTGGGTATGAAGTTGTTAAATGAATTTCAAATCATTGCCAATATGTAGTTATCAATATTTATAATTTCATTTCATTCTTTATTTCGATTAATATAGATAAACATTAAGAGAACATACAATATGTATATACAAGAGCTTAGGAATTTAAAATTCCTTTTCTACTTTACATATTTATTATTTGTTTATATAACAAAATAAGAATGTGAAAGCTAGTATTAAGTATTACAGGAAAATTTCGCAAAAAAATCTTTGTTAATAGTTAGGGATTTGAATACGTTAATTTGATAAAATTACGATGGCATTAGTTCATTAATTGGTATTGGGACATTTGACATTTTATTATGAAATTGTCAGTCAACCTTTTAATTTTCTACTTAACTAGCTCAAATCCCGTCAAATGAATGATTTTAAGAATCTTGTTCTGGCAGAGCTCCATAAAACATTAATGGAAGGAAAATGCCTTTATAAATAAGGATCTTTTTTTCTATATTAAGTTCTGAATTCCGATTTATTAATGGATACCTCATTCTTGTAATTTTATTGATTTTGTCAACTATGTGCGGAATGTGGCTCTTGAAATTTATTCGAGTATCAAGGATTATGCCATGATGAGGATTTAGGATTTATTTGACATATATACAATGGAATTGGCAATAATAACCCACTGGGTTAACGAAATCCGTACTATTAGTATTATTTTAATTATTTTTATCGGGGAATTTAAACGGTGGAATTGCCAAAGAAGTTATCACGAACATATCACCTTATTTTTACCAGAGGTTGTGAGGTGTTATGTTACCTCCTAAATCCAAATTGTTGTGGAGGAATGATACAATATTAATAATATGACATTCATCATTTCTCATTGTTTATGCTAAGCATTCATTTTTTTGTTTTCAGAAGCAATGGCATTTTTTTAAAAGATATTGTTACATAACTTAATGTTATACCCCTTCAATGAAGATAGAAATTATGCTTTTATTTTTCGAACTCAATTAAAACAAGTTGGAAAAACAGCTATGCAGATTTTAGAATTTCTAAATCTAATTAAATACACGGATTATAAAAATTATAATCGAGAAATAAATCCCAGCAGCAAATAGCACATATACGCAACAGAGCAGAGAGCGGCATGGGAAAACACAACACGAACGAACCAGGTTGATGCCGATACAATTTGATATTTTGCACGTTTTTTTTTTATTCGTTACAGATGGTTGTTTTAAAAGGCCTCTCGAAATGTGCAATATATCATTTGATTAAAAAATTATTTAACAGCTTAACAACAAACGTTCTATATTTCTTTGCTTTGCATTTGGAAACGACCAAGCGATTGTATAATACATGTGGAAGGGAGAAACACAACAGAAAATTTTATCATCTGACATTTGTGTTTGGCAAAGCGAAAAGCCAAAAAACACAAAAAACAAATACCAAATAGCAACTTACCCCAAACACCATCGGACAGTGCGTAGCGGTGCTGTGCACATAGCACCATTAGAAATATCAGCATTTTAAATATTTTCCACATTTCGCATATACTTTATTGGCCAAAATGCGCGTGTTGTATTCCAATAGAAATAATGAAAAATAACCCTCAATAAACAATAACAACAACAATTCACTTTTATTTCAACTTTGGTTATGTTGCACTCTAAAATTCTCTCAGCATATTATTCTCACAATAGATTTCTCTTCTTTCATTTGTTTTATTCTTTAGTTGTCACACAATTCAATTAGATATTTATTTACAATCGAGTGATAATAAAAGTATACGACTTTTGTTTATATGTTGCAGTAACACGTTAAACATTAATAGCCGTTAGCTAATTTGATGGTTAATTTGCTTCTGGTCGGTTCCTTACAAGCACGAAAATCGACCATTTAGCTAAAATGTAAATCGCAAACTGACATTTGTATTGTACTTGTATTTAAATCCTCGATTATTGAAAAACGTTCCAACTGTTACGAATGGGATGGGATACGACAAAATGCCCGGTAAAGAAGAAGTCAAAAAAGAAGACGGAAAGTTACGAACAAGATCTATTAATAACCAAGGTCACCAAGATAGCAATCGAAATCGGAAAACAGCTTTTTTCTCAAGTCTAATGTCAAAAATTTCGACTTTGTTTACGTCATGGCCTATAAATATATTAATAGATCTTGGTTTACGTTTTCATAATGGAAGTCAATTCACAATAATGCATTTTGACAGCAAACTTGAGATGTATCGATAATCAGCTGGTCTCCCTTGGTGACCTTATTTATAGGCCATGGTTACGAATGTGGTGGGATGGAGACTAAAACGGTGTACACACAGTGCTACCAGTTAAATTTCATGAAAAATCGTCAATTTTTCAGAAACAAATCGGCATAATCGGCATTTGTATTTTTAAAAATCGGCAAAAAATCGGAAGCATATAATTTATAAGTAAATTCATATTTTTTTGGTTTATAACAAATCAATATTGTTTATTATATTAAAAAAGATAACAAATTCAATTCTGTATAAGAAATAACAAATGATTCATTTTTCTACAAAAAATTGGATTTTTCTAAAATATAGTAATTATTATGTACACTAGTGAGATCTTTCAGATCATAAAAATAACGTACAAACTAGTACATATTTTTATTACACAATTTTAGTAATTCATTATCAATTTTGACATTAAAACAATTTGATTTATTTAGTTTGAGGTAATATTTAGAATAAAGAATCCCTTCCAATGAATCATTCTCAAGTGAGCTTCTAATTTTAGTTTTGTTAAGGTTTACCTGACTAAAAATTCGTTCCACATTTGGTGTGGAGTGTGGAAGAACCATAATTCTTTGTACAAATTTAGACAAAACTGGAAAAGCTAAATTGGAGTCCCCACGTTTAATTTCGGAAATTTTTTTCCAAAAACTTTTTAAATTATATTCTGCATTTTCAAAAATTTCTTCAAAATTCAGAAAGTTTAACTCCCTAAACTCGGAGTCTAAAGATTTGCCTTATTCGATGTAAAATGTAAACTAGACAGAGTACAATGCTGACAAAAATGCAGATATCTAAGCCATTGAAAACTGCTGCGGCGAGTCGCCGATAGTTATAATGATTTAAAGCTGCCAATTTTATATGTTTGTATGGTAACGCCGTATTAAATTAAAAAGTTAGACAATTTGTGTCGATTGTTGAAATATCGGCAATTCTGAGGCAAAAATCGGAAAATCGGCATTTTCCATTTTTAGAGTGAAAAATCGTCAAAATGCCGATAAATCGGCAAATATGGCAGCCCTGTGTACACACTATAATTTTTGACTGTCAACTTTTTTATCGATTACTGACTTACAACCATAAATATTTTTGTGGTTGCCTGATGAATGACAAACATGTGAGGCCACACTATCATGGCCTATAAATAAGGTCACCAAGGGAGACCAGCTGATTATCGATATCTCTCAAGTTTGCTGTCAAAATGCATTATTGTGAATTGACTTCCATTATGAAAACGTAAACAAAGTCGAAATTTTTGACAATAGACTTGAGAAAAAACAGCTGTTTTCGTATTTCGATTGCTATCTTGGTGACCTTATTAATAGATCTTGCACACTATCAAACAAGCAAAATTTGGGCAAGAGTGCCATTCAAAAATGCTAGTGTGTACACCGCATAAAAAGGTGTCGAGGGGGATTTTTTTATAACAATCGATTAGTTGAATAATCGGTTTATCGTTGGAAAACAAATCTGCAGAAAACAAATCTGTAGAAAATGTTTCTCTTTTTTTATAAAATCTTTAGATAAACTTAAAAAAAGGAAGGTGTTAGCGTGGTTTTACATTTATCGGGATCAGTGTTGAGAGTTTTTCTCTCTCAGTGGTAAATTGTGAATTGTGTTGGAAAACATTACCACAGGTCGGAACATAAAAGTACGAAAAGGTATATAAATTCTATTTCAACTGTTAATAAATCATAATTATCGAGAAATATTGGCCAATATTTATACCAGTTATTTGCATAAATAATATATGTTATAATTTAAGCGTAAATGTATTCACAAATAATAAAAAAATCTCATTTTTGTTTTGGTACGTTTATGTCAATTCGTACCTTTTGTGAACAAAAAGTACGCTTGTTACAAAATTAAAAATAGCGCAACTCTAATTACTCTCTCAAGAGAGAGAAACTCTCAACACCGATCCCGATCCCGACAAATGTAAAACCACGCTTAGGGATACGTAAATCGACTTTCGACTAAACGACATTTTGTATTGATGTGTCTAAAAGTCGAATTCGACTTTTGACTTTTGAAATCGATTTTCTTTATAAATACTTGGTTTTTTATTTGTCTGTTCCCGTACTGCAAAAACCTACTATTTTTCTTTGATTTTTGGCCTGTTCCCGTACTGCAAGAATCTACTCGATTTTACTATTTTCTTCGATATCATAAAGGAAAATTCGTTATCGTAGTTAAAAGTAGTAGATTCTTGCAGTACAGGAACAGACCATTTATGTATTTTTCACTTTGCAACATTTGGTCTGTTCACATACTGCAAGAATCTATTCGATTTTACTATTTTCTTCGATATCATAAAGGAAAAAATGGTTATGGTAGTAAAAAATAGTAGAAACCTTTGATGATGTTGATGCTGCTGCTGATGTTCGCTTGCTTGTTCTCGTTTTCGACGGTGTTTCACCCAACTCTCTGTACTTATTTATCTTAATTTGTTAATATTCGATGGACTGAAACAAATTACGTACGTACGTCATTTTTGGATGAAAATAAGCTTAAATTAAATTTATATACATATTCTTATTGGATGTTTTTCGAAGTAAATGATAATAAGATAAGCGAGGTATTTTGACACAATTAGTTGTGTACTTAGTATTTCTAAATTCTTAGTGGTAAAGTGTACTCAATCAAAATGTTCATGTTAAAATGTTTCAAATATTCGAGCAATAATCTGAATAATTTAATTATTTTACAATAGCTACGTTAGTTAAGTTATATCATTAAACGGTTGTACTTATTTTTTAAAAGTGAAAAGAAAGAATTTCGGTTTGACGCCTAAAAGTATTCATTTAGAAAATGTGCTAATAAGAATCAGGTTATGGTGTTTTTACACGATATGTATTTTACATATGTGCTGTCACTTTATTTACATATGCAACTCGAACTCCCAGTCGTTTCTCAACTCTTGTTGATGCCAGACTACGAACGCGCGGATCGCTTTGTTTTTTATTTTCGTTTTTTTCATATACACTCATACACACACACACACCCACACACCAAATTACACATTAACCTACACCATACACTTTTGCTTTTTTTCCTTTGGATCACTTTTGCTAATTTTTGGAACAGATTGCAATTTCAACATCTTCCGTGGAAATGGGGGACGAGGAGCCACCCCCTCGTTTGGAGCCGAGGAGAAGATTTGAAAATTTAAGTATACCTGGAAATAAAAAATTCAAAAATTCAGCATCACCAGCTCAAAGCAAAATGTACCAAACTAACACCAATTCTACACCATCATCTGCTAACCCAACACACAATAGTGAAAATCAGTTAACAATTAACATTACTCCTGCACACTCTAACTACAGTACTAATGACACTAATGAAGTCAACAATATTAACACACAACACAAAAACACCAATATGCCATCAAATATAAGTAATATGCCAGCATTTTCCGATAATCCCCAAACACCTTTCAACAACCCATCATTTCCAATTAATAACCCTGTCAACACTAACAATATCCACAATTTCAATCCCTATGAAAACCAAACAATCCTGTACCACAATAAACATCCTGGTCCTTATTTTGTCCTGGTTACATCTGAGGAACCAATTAGCACGAGAAGGAAAAATTCTGAACTGCACCTTTTCGCTAAATTAGAAAATGCCAATATTTCTGCACATTTTGTTGCAAAAAATATAGGATACAAAACTTTTCGTTTGTCCTTTAATAATCCAACATCGGCCAATAATTTTGTGTTGCATCCAAATCTTAAAAATATTGGGCTTACTGCTTTCATACCGGATAGATTTGTTCAAAAGTTGTACATTATTAAATCTGTGCCAACTGAATTTCATGGTAAAACGATCGTTGATCAAATAAACAATTGCGATAATGAATTTAAGGCTATTTCAGTCTACCGTTTTAATTATAAAAATGAAAAAGGTCAGTACGTGCCATCTCAAACTATAAAAGTCGGCATTGTAGCAGATTTCTTAGTAAGAGAAATTAAAATGTTTAATTCGATTGTCGAAGCAGACTTATACATACCACCGTCACGGCTTTGTAAAAATTGCGGCCGTCTAGGACATATTGCGATCAGGTGTAAGTCACAGAAAAGATGTCTACTTTGTGGAAAAGATATTGTTTGTCCCAACAACTGTACCGAACAAAAATGTGATACTTGTTTATCCACAATCAAATGCATTGATCTATGTACTCTTAGGAGGTGTATTCTCTGCAATTCGTATGACCATAATGCGATGGATGAGAGGAAATGTCCGAAGTATGCTATTGAAAGGAACATCAAAGAATCTATGGCGATTTCTA